GTTGTTGTTGTTGTTGTTGTTGTTGTTGTTGTTGTTGTTGTTGTTGTTGTTGTTGTTGTTGTTGTTGTTGTTGTTGTTGTTAAAAAAAACAGGAGGTTTTACTTACGGTTGATTTCTGCTGTCGTTGCCTGTAACGAAGAGATAGAGTTCGATTAACATTTATACGTATTCAGTTTGCCAATTATTCTCATCGCCTAAACAAGCTAGGATATATATTATCTAAAATGAAGAATATAAATTGATGTTCTGATAATTTCAAGTTATTGAAATTGCACTTATATTTAAATTATAAGTGGATCCAACTTAATACTGCGATAGTGTATAAATGTATAGACTATAGAATGATGTAACAAATGTTGCATGGCAAATGCATTTTTAGCCAATCTGGGACCCTTGATGCATGTTACCTAAATTAGTTCCATGTTAAATTCCTAAAAGTTAAAAATATAGCATGACATTGAGTTTCACAACATGTTAGTGTCACACAGTTCGAGTGTCGATTTACTTGATTATTATTTGCAGAAAATTTTCAAATGTTCTCTTTAAAATAATTTTTCTACCCTGGCTGTGAACCTAGTTTGAATATCAGGAAATAAATTTGACTCTTGCTAACAAACTGTAATTGTTATGTAAATTATGTAACTGTATAGCTAGCCATGTAACAATACCTGCAGATCTACGTTTTAGCCACAATGCAAGGAAGATAACAGCAACAATAACGAACAACACCAGCAACACAGAAACAACTACGACGACAGTGGAAGGAATATCATCTGATATTTGACCCAATACTGGTTTATCTGTACTGCTGCTGGTTTCATGAGGAGATCTCGAGGTTTTCAGAGTCCTTGATTTCTCGCTTGTGTGAGCTAAATGTATCAAGAGGACAAAATGTTTTCAATCATGTTGGCAGAAATGAAGAGCATTTAATAAAATAAATGGATGATATGAAATTAAACGAGACTTGAAGATGAAGCTTTAATTAATGTGCTTCTACTTAAACATCTTAGCGGCAGCAATTACACTTCATGGTTTTCAGTGCGAACTAACCATGTTATTGATGACAGTGCATGGTAGATTAAAAGCGCAAGCTTTTTTTGTAGCTGTAGCTCTGCTACTGTGTGGGGCATAAATATTGTCAGATCAATCCCTGCTTACTCTATCAACGATTTTTCTCTATCCAGATTTAGTTTTTCCTTGAAAGCTGGATTAAATAGTTCTTGTTGCTACCATTGCATGTAAAAGGTGGTTGTTGAGGAAGAACTGGTGCGTGACTCCATAGTTTCGTCAACTTGCGAGACCAAGATTGAGTCGACCCAAGGGATACCCCCCCGCCCCCTTCACGGAAAATAACAAATCTTCGGAAATTTTAACCTAAAAAAGAGCTAAAAACAGCATTTTCGAGTGCAAATGG